GTCTCTGAGCCTCACTTTCTTCATCTCTTCTCTGGGGGAAGTGCGAGGCCTGCTCAGGGCAGGGACAGCTGGGACAGTCTCCTTGTCCCCATTTTCGCTGACTTTCGCTCTCCTTTCTCCGAATGGCCTTGTGATTTTGTTTCCTTCTCTGCCCCAGCTCAGATGGTCTCTGACTCACAGACACACACCCTCCATCAAACCACATCCCTCCCTGGCTTATAGTTCGGATTTCCCCCATCTTCCCTTGTCCTTTTGATAACTACTATTGCTACAGAGAAAGCCCCCGCTGCCAGTGTCACCCCTCACCAACTCCCCGGCCACCCCACCCCCAGCACCCTCCCACTTCACCCAGCCCCCAAAGTTGTAAGCCCTGCTGCCCTGTGGGGGAGCTCCCAGAAGCTGGGGAGTTTGTCCTTAACTGTCCACGGCCGGCCCTGCATGGGACAGGCAGTTGGAGGAGGCTGAGAGCAGAGTGAGATGGGGGTGTTGATGCACGGTTTCCGGGAGGCAACACCCCATGTGCCCCAGCAGGTCCTCGGTGCACGGCTGGGAGGGCAGGGGGCAGCAGGGACCGTGAGGGCCTTGTGCCAGACAAGCACAGCCACCTGCTGGGATGGCCTGTGGGCCGGTAGAAAGGCCTGCCAATGTGCTCCCTGAAGATTCCAGAAAACCCAAACTCACAGCCAGAGGCGATTCCAACTCAGTGACCCCCATTGGGTTTACAAGGCTCACTCTCCCCTAAGAGTCAAGGGGCAGACAGGGCACCAGGCAGCCGTTAACAGTGCTACCTGGACGTTTATTTTGGGCTCCTGCCCGCCCCCAGAGCTATTTGGGGCAAGAGAAGAAAATAGACTGGTTTCCTCCCCGCCCCCTGCTCCCCATGGCCCCGCAGCCTAGACTGGACCCCAGCCCCCGGCCTGGTTCCAGGAAAGCAGTTTCATTTCCCCCGCCTGACTCGGGAAGATGGGGGGGCGTGGCAAGGCAAAGCCAGTTTAGGGACCAGAGGGGACCCTGACAGAGTGGAGGGCAGAGGACAGTGGCTGCTGTTGGCGGAGAGAGGAGGTAGAGAGGAGGCTGGGGGAGACGGACAGGAGGGAGGAAAGGGGAGCCCAAGAGCTGGGAGACGGAGGGCTGGAGAGAGGGGGAGGGAGGGGGAGAAGAGGGGGACATTGGAGGTCAGGGAGATGGAGAGGGGGAGACCGAGGGTCAGGGAGACACACAGGACGGATGCGAGGGCGCGGAGAGGGAAGCTGAGAGAAGGACTCAGAAGATGAAAGAGACCAGGAGGCTGAGAGGGAGCTGGGTGGAGCCCACAGGGATGGAGAGGCCGGGCCGGGCAGGGGGCACTGGGGGCCGTGGGTCCAGAGAGAAAGCTCGGGCAGGGTCACGTGGGCCCCTCTCACGGTGGCTTCGGTTCTCCTCCACCCCAGACACCATCTCCCACCGTCATGGCCCCATGGGGTAAGTTACCAGGCAAGGGAGTGTGGGACGAGCGGGGCAGGAACCCCCTCCTTACACCCCCACCCCCCGCCCTACTGACCCCGTGCTCCTCCTCCTCCAGCCCCGCGTCTCCTCATCCTCGTCCCCGCCCTCCTCAGCCTGGCAGCCTCCCTGGCCAGGAAGGCCACGCACCCCCAGGACCCCTTAGACAAATGCCTGGAGGATCCTGACTATGAGCAGCTGCTCAAGGTCGTGACCTTGGGCCTCAACAGGACCTCCAGGCCCCAGAGGGTGATTGTGGTTGGGGCTGGCGTGTCCGGACTGGTGGCCGCCAAGGTGCTCGGCGAGGCTGGGCACAAGGTGAGAAGCGCTGCTCACAGTCTACCTGCTGCGGGCTGGGATCCCGCCAGAGGGCGTGGAGGGAGGGAGGGAGGGAGCGCGCCTTCCCCCTGGTCTGGGGAGGGATCCCACTGAAGCCTGAGACCCTGAGGGGGCATCTGCCCAGACTGGGACTCTCCAACATTCGCTGGCCCCCAGACATCTCACGCAGCCCCCAGGGGGGAGTTCCCGTGGGTGGAGATGGAAATTCTACCCAAGTGGAAGTCCCTCGTGAGGTCAGACTGCAATCCGAGAATGAGAATGGGGCAGGGACTTGGGCGCGTACGTGGGAAATCTCCCTGCTTGCTGAGCTGGGAAGTCCCTCTGCGTTCTGGCCAGTGGCCTGCCTGCTGCAGTCCTGGAACCATCATACTGTGTCTGAATGCTGTATACTCTCCCCACTCCCCATAAAGAAAGGGGCCCATCTGCTAGTCCGCTCTAGGACTGTGCTGCTGTGGGTAGGAAGGCAGGGGCTGGTAAGGGGGCGAGGGGAACGGAAGGGCTCAGTGGAGGAGCTGAAGGCCCCTGCCTCCCCGTCCAGGTGACTGTCCTGGAGGCAGACAACAGGGTCGGAGGCCGCATCTTCACATACCGGGATGAGAAGACCGGCTGGATCGGGGAGCTGGGGGCCATGCGCATGCCCACCTCGCACAGGTGCCCCCTCCATGTCCACACTCAGAGCCCCAACCCAAGCCCACCCAGCGTCGGCTCCGATGTCAGCCTGACCCCCTGCCCAGCTCCCGTTCCTTCCTTCCCTGGATCCCGGCCCCACAGTCCACTGGCTCGGGCTGGCCCAGCCCAAAGCCTCTCCAGGTCCCCAGCTTGATTCACCCCGAGGCCCGTGGTCACCCCAAGGCCAGGCAGCATCACTGATCCTGGGCCCTTCTCCTCCTAAGCCCCTACCCTGTCCCCATTCCCAACTCAGATCCTGGCTCTGACTTCATCCCCAGAGAAACCCAGCTCTCACCCCAAACCCAGGCGCCCTCAGCCTCCCAGCCCCTTTCAGGTCTCATCCCCATTCTCAGCACAGGTGACCCCAAATCTAGGCCCATCTCCAGCATCATGGCCACCCCAAACCCCATCCCCAGCTACCCACGCCTTTCCCTTCTCCAAACCCCACTAGGGAAAGAGACCCCTATTCCATCCCCACCTGACTCTTGACCATGCCCTCCCCACACCTTCCACCAGCTGCCCCTCCCCTCCCCCACACCCTCCCCCAGCCTTTCCCTAAGGCTTCCCCAGCCCTCTCCTTCCCCCCCCAGCCCTCACTCCCTCCTTCCCCACTCAGCCCTCCCTCCTCCTCCCACTCAGCCCTCCCTCAGCCCTCCTCCAGCCCTCCCTCCCCTCAGTCAGCCCTCCCTCCTCACTCAGTCCTCCTTCCCCTCTCACTCAGCCCTGCCTCCCCACACTCGGTCCTCCCTCCCCCTCACTCAGCCCTCCCTCCCCACTCCTTCTTCTCCCTCTCTCTTCACTCAGCCCTCCCTCCCCGCTCCCCCAGCCCTCCCTCCCCTCAGTCAGCCCTCCCTGACTCAGCCTTCCCTCCCCACACTCAGCCCTCCCTCCTCCATTCCCTCTCAGCCCTCCCTCCTCCCTTCCCTCACAGCCCTGCCTCCTCACTCCTTCTTCTCCCTCTGTCTTCGCTCAGCCCTGCCTCCCTGTCACTCGGTCCTCCCTCCCCCCACTCAGCCCTCCCCCCACCTCTTCCCCTCCGCCTCACTCAGCCCTCCCTGCTCCCTCAGGATCCTCCACAAGCTCTGCCAGACGCTGGGGCTCAACCTGACCCGCTTCGTCCAGTACGACGAGAACACGTGGACGGAGGTGAACAGTGTGAAGCTGCGCAACTACGTGGTGGAGAAGATGCCTGAGAAGCTGGGCTACAACCTGCGCCCCAGGGAGAGGGGCCGCTCGCCCGAGGACATCTACCAGATGGCCCTCAGCAAGGCAAGCTGCCAGCCAAGGCGCCCTCGCGCCCGGCCCGGCGTCCTTCCCTCAGTCGGGCCCCAGAACACAGCTGACCCTCAGAACCCCATCAGCTTTTGAGCCCCTGTTCCCTTCTCATTCGTACCCCAGGACAACCTCGCCTGTCTACCTCTGTGCCTTAAACTCGGGTTCATGGGCTGATGTCTCCTAAATTCATTTCCTGAGGCCCACACCTGTGTTCATCTGCCCTGACCATCCCCCAGGACCCCTCACATCCCTCCGAGTTCAGCATCTTCCCCTAAACCCACTCGTCCCTCCGGGCTCCCCCATCTCACGACACATCACCCTCTCCCCCCAGTCACCCAGCAGACCCCTAGGTACCATCCTTGTCTCTCTCCCCACCCGTAACCAGTCCCCAGCCCAGTCCTCCTGCCCCGTGACTCTCTGCTCTATTCTCTCTTCCCCAAACCCCAGCCTGTCCTCTCCCCTGGCCTTTGCCACAGCCTCATCCCCGACCTCTGGTCCTCCCTTCAATGTTCAGTGGCTACCAAAAAAAGAAAAAAAAAAAAAACCTCCACTGCCATCAAAACAAAAAAAACTGCCACGAAGTCAAGGCCAACTCAGAGTGACCCCCTTTGGGTTTCCAAGGCAGTAAATCTTTACAGAAGTAGATTGTCCAGTCTTCCTTCTCAGAATGGTTGGTGGGTTTGAACTGTTAGCCTTCTGGTTAGCAGTCAAATGCCTTAGGCCCTACGCCACCAGAGCTCCCTCCACGCCATCAAGTCAGTTCCAACTCACCAGGCCTCGACAGGACAGGGAACTGATCCACAGGGACTCCAAGGCTGTAAATCTTTCTGAAGCCGACTATCTCATCTTTTCCCCATGCAGCAGCTGGTGGGTTTTTGGTTAGCAGCTGGATGCTCTGACCACTGCACCACTAGAGTGCTTGCAGTGGCTCCAGAGGGGTCTTTCAATGCCCAGAGCTGCCCCCCAGGGCCCCAGGTCAGAATCCCAGCCCCTCGGCCTCAGTTTTGAGCCCTGACCAGTCTGGCCTCTCCCAGCCTTCTACCTTCATGTTCTTCTCTCCCCCAAGAAACGTTTATTTCTCCCAAAGCCCTCAAGGTGACACAAACGTGCCCCCTCTGTCCTCTTTCCTACTCACTGTACTCGTCCATCCCACCCTCACACCTTCGCACCTGCTTCACCTTCCCCTTGTTTGGATTGTCTTTTCCAACACAAGTAATTCCTACTCATCCCTCCAAATCCAGCTCCATGGCCCCTCCTCCAGGAAGCCCTCAGACACTCTCCTCTAGGAGCTCCTTCCTTGTCCATCTCCCCGGCAGCCTTCTCATTCAGACCCCCGGATGGGACAGCCTCACCTGGCAGCACTGACCGTTGCAGGGGGGCAGTCACATTCCATCCACATCCAGAATTTACTTAGCACCAGAAGGACACACAGACACACTCCAGCCTCCATAGAGCTCACCGTCTAGGATAGAAATTGGCTAAGTCACGTCTGACTGAGATGACTGTGACAACAGCCACAAGGGCCCAATGTTGGGGGACGATGGTGATAATGACTCAGGGAGACTTCACAGAGAAGTGACATTTAGTGCAGGTGCCAGGCAAGGCTGAGGATACAGCAGGGACAAAGGCCTGGGGGCGGGATCAGGAAAGGAACCCGGTTCTGGGCCCAGGCCTGTGCGGGTCCCACAGCAGCTCAACGCCGTCTGCTTGCTCCCTACAGGCCCTCAAGGACCTCAGGACGCTGGGCTGCAGAATGGCCCTGCAGGTGTTTGAAAGGCACACGCTCCTGGTGAGCGGCCGACTGGGCCTCAGTTTCCCCCACCTTTCACAAGAAGAGCCGTACCCTGGGGCCGGGGGGAGCTCCCGGTCGTGCCACGGGCGCGGGAGGGAGGACGAGCCGGCGTGCAGTCCGAACGCCTGGCTCTGACCCCGGCCCTCGCCCGTCCGCAGGAATACCTCCTCGGACAGGGGAACCTGAGCCAGCCGGCTGCGCGGCTCCTGGGAGACACGATGGCCAAGGACGGCTTCTTCTACCTCAGCTTCGCGGAGGCCCTGCGCGCCCACAGCTGCCTCAGCGACCGGCTCCGGTGAGGGGCAGGGGCGGGGCTGGCGGGGTCAATCGGGACCAGGGATGGGGAGTGGGTGGGCGGGCTTGGCAGCAAGGGCGGCGCCCAGGGCCAGAGAGGTGCGGTCTGGTCCCGCCCACCTAGCACCCCCTACCCTCTGGGTGGGGCCCGCCGGAGCACCTGGGTAGGAAAGGGTATTGGAGAGGTGGTGGCCCAGAAACGTGTTACCTGCCCTGCAGGAGGAACTTTATCCCGGGTCCTCGGGGGCGGCAGGGAAGGGCGGGGCGGAGAGGGGCGGGGCTAGGTGAGTGGGCGGGGCTGACGCGGAGTGGGCAGGTGCCAACAGGGGCAAGTACCGGAGTGGGCGGGGCTCGTGAGAAAGGGTGGGGTCAGAGGGCACCGGGTTGGTGACAACAAGAACGGGTACCAAGGCAATAAGGAGTGGGCGGGAGGGAAATAAGGAGCAGGCGGAGTCATGGGGCGGGGCCGCCGCGGCGGGGCAGGATTTGCGGAAAGCCGATAGGTGGAAACAGAGGGGGTGGCAGGGCGTGGGCGGAGTCACTGGGGCGGGCTCCCGGGCCCAGGGATCCCGGGTCACCCCTTGCCCCGCCCATAGGTACAGCCGCATCGTGGGTGGCTGGGACATGCTGCCGCGCGCCCTGCTGAGCTCGCTGTCCGGACCGATGCTGCTGCAGGCTCCGGTGGTGGCAGTGAAGCAGGCGGCACACGAGGTGTACGTGCACGTCTCCACGTCGCGCGGGGCCGGCCAGCAGAAGGTGCTGACCGCCGACATGGTGCTGCTGACGGCGAGCGGGCCGGCGCTGCGGCGCATCGCCTTCTCGCCGCCGCTCACGCACACGCGGCAGTACGCGCTGCGGGCTCTGCACTACGTGCCGGCCACCAAGGTCTACCTAAGGTTCCGCCGGCCCTTCTGGCAGGACGAACACATCGAGGGCGGCCACTCGAGCACCGACCGCCCGTCGCGCGTCATCTTCTACCCGCCGCCGCGGGAGGGCGCGCTGCTGCTGGCCTCGTACACGTGGTCTGACTCGACGGCGTCCTTCGCCGGCCTGAGCACGGACGAGGCGCTGCGCGTGGCGCTCGACGACGTGGCGGCGCTGCACGGGCCCATCGTGTACCGGCTCTGGGACGGCAGCGGCGTGGTCAAGCGCTGGGCCGAGGACCCGCACAGCCAGGGCGGCTTCGTGGTGCAGCCGCCGACCTTCTGGCACCCGGAAAAGGAGGACGGGCGCACCGTCGACTGGGCGGTCCCCTACGGCCGCGTCTACTTCGCTGGCGAGCACACAGCCAACCCACACGGCTGGGTGGAGACGGCCGTCAAGTCGGCGCTGCGGGCCGCGCTCCGGATCAACCACCGGGGCCTGCCCGGGCACAAGGCCGAGCCCGTGCAGGTAGGCGCCTGGAAGGCGGCGACCGCCCACCACCCGACCCATAAGCCGGTCTCCCCCCGGCACACAACCCACAAGCCGACCTGACATTAAAGTATTTTCGGGAAAAGCTGCGTGGTCTAGCCCCTCCGTGCGGGGCGCTCCCGCAGGTCGCCGGGAGCAGAACCACTAGCGCGCTGGTTGGGCGGGCTCGCCCCTGGGGACCCCCGGAAGCTGCCCTCTGCTGCTTCCTGCACAGAGGGGCTCCGCAGGTGGCGAGGGACAGAGGGGACACCCCGCTGTGGCCCCTGGCCATCACGGGCGGAGACGAGAGGAGACACAGGCGGGTCCGGAGGCAAACCACCGACGACCGGGTTGACGACGTGAGTCTAGTTTCACAGAGAACAAGCAGCCGTAGCAAGGCTCCCCCGAGTGTCGGCGGCCCTGTCACCTTCACTGTGCCGAGGTGTGTCCCTGCACACTCCTAGGGGGCGGCAGCTTGATGAGTACTGCTTCCTCAAGGCCCCCAAAGCCCCAGACTCCTGCAGGAAGGGAGCCCTGGCCCCCTTTCTCCCCCGCCCGTCCCCCCTGGGGTCTCCCTTATCCCGGGTGATGTGGTCAGGGACCGGCTATTCCCAGTGACCGGCATTAGCCCACCAGGTGGGGGACCAGGAGCCGCCCCCCGCCCCCCGCCCCCGCTGAGCCCACACAACGTGGAGCCTTCTTCTCCCACCACCACGAGGCCGAGTGGTCTGAAGAAGTGTCAGTTTTATTAATCGGCTAATCAGGGTAGCGGCGGGGCCGCCAGAGGCGGGAGGCACGACCGGAGGCACAGCCCCTCCCACGCCTCGGAAAGGGCGGGCCGTGAGGCGGGACCCGGCCCAGGGCCTGTGCTGGGCGGGCGCCCCCTGAGCCCGGCTAGGTGTCGGCGCCAGACTCGTCCTCGGGCAGGATCTCCAGGCTGCTGTCGGCCTGCGGGGCCGGGTCTGCGGGGTCTGGCACGGCCGTTGGGGAACGGGTGGGCGACAGGGGCAGCGGGGACGCCGGGGGCGAGGGGCTGTGTGGCTCTGCAGGCGACGCCAGGCCCAGGACCTCCTGCACATTGTGGGGCAGCTCCTGGGGGCGGGGTCAGAGACGGCAGGGGCGGGGTCAGAGGTGAAGGGGTGGGGCTATAGACCGGAGGGGTGGTTCAGAGACGGAGGAGAGGGGTCACGGACTGGAGGGGTCACAGAGACGGAGGAGAAGGGTCAAGGGCGGGTTCAGAGGTGGCAGGGGCCAGAGGTGGGAAGGGTGGGGTCGGAGGCCGGCGGGGAGCCGTCTGTCTGGTGGGAAGGGAGCGGGACAGGAGGGGTCGGCGGCGGCAAGGGCTCACCGGGCAGGAGGTCAGCTGCCGGTAGAGGGCCTCGGCCCGCGTCAGCACACTCTCCACGCTCAGCTTCATGGTCAGCTCGTTGATGTGCTGCGGGAGGTGGGGGGTCAGGCCGGCCTGCCTCCCCGCGGCCATTCAACCACCACCGCCCGAGCGCCCACTCTGTGCTGGGGACACAATGGGGGGAAGACAGACAGGGTCTGGCCCTCACCGGGCTCAGAGTGGAACTGGGGTCCAGGGAGGGCATGCTTCTCATTCGGCCACCATTTTGAGCACTTACTATGTGCCAGACCCAGGGGCCACATCAGGAGGGACAAGGCACAAAGCGCCCGCCCAGTCCCCCCTGGGGCCCTGCTCAGCCCAGCCCCGTCACTAGGGAAGGGGAGGACCAGCATCTGCCCAGTGAGGCTCTGCAGGGAGCTAAGGACAGACGAGGTGTGGGGGGAGACAGCTGCCCTACCCCTCCCCACCCTACCCCGGTGCCCCCCGCCTCAACTCACCACCCGCTCCATAAGCCTATCTTGAGAACTCATGTGAAGTAGGGCGCTCTGATGGCCGAGTGGATTAGCCATTTGTCTCCTAACCCGAGGGTCAACTGTACAAACCCACTAGCTGCTCAGAAACCCAGTGGGGATCACTGTGAGTCCGGATGGACTCCATGGCAGTGACTTTGGTTTCGTTACGGTATATTATGTGCAGTAAGGAGCCCTGGTGGTGCAACGGTTAGGCACTCGGCTATTAACCAAGAGGTCTCAGTTTGAACCCCCCATAGCCTGGGAAACCCTGTGGGACAGTTCTATGTGCCATGGGGTCGCTGTGAATCAAACACTGACTTGAGGGACCAAACAACAACTATGTGAAGTAATGAGGCCCCCAGGCGATGACGGCCTCCAGGGGTTCACACCCCACCCGGTGTGTCAGGACGGGTCAGGGTGGGCAGGGAGAGGGCGGTCTGCAGGGGCGAGGCCTCACCTTGAGGATCTCATTGGAGCCGAACCCCGAGAGCATGAGTGTGTCCCGCTCACTGTCCAGGATGGCGCAGGCCACCAGCAGGTGCAGGTTGGGCCCAGGGAGCCCGGTCCACAGCACCTGGGGAGGGGCGGGGAAGGGCAGCTCAGCCCCCACCTGCTGCCACGCCCCCCAGCTTCCGGCGAGCCCTCCCCAGCCCCCACCGGAAGCAGCCGCTCACCTCCCACAGCCGCAGGACGTCTGGGAAGGGGAACTCCCTCTTGAACCAGATGAGCAGCCACCGGAAGCAGAAGCAGAGCGAGCCCGAGTCCTGGGCGTCTGCGGGAGGCGGAGGGGTCAGCGCGGGCGGCCAGCGGGCTGTGCCCCCAAGCCCCGCCTGGCTCAACAAGGGATCACGGTCAAAGCCACTTCGAATCGCATTCCATTCATAAGGGAGCCGGGAAGTGAGCCTGTCCGGAAGAACTCACCCATCCAGGAGAGCAGCCTAAACGCGGCGCTGGGGCAGCTCCGAAGGTGAAGCAGGGACGCGGTGCGAGAATTTCCCATCCCGCCCTCCCGCCTGCATATGAAACGTGTCATCTTCTTTTCCACAGACACGGAGGGGATGCAGGAAGCCCCCAAACCCAAGGAAAACTGTCAACACCCAGTGCTGGGGACCGTGTGGGAAACCGATAGGCTCACAGCGCCCCTAGAGGACACAGTGGAACTGCCCCACAGGGTTTCCGAGGCTGTAATCAGTAGACCAAACAACCAAACTCACTGCCATCTAGTGGGATCCGACCCTTAGCGACCTAACCTTGGGTTTCCGAGGCGGTATCACTACGGAAGTAGATTGCCCAGTCTTCCCTCCAAGGAGTGCCTGGTGGGTTTGAACCGCCAGCCTTCTGGTTAGCAGTCAAGTGCCTTAGGCACTGCGCCACCAGAAGCAAAGCCCAAATCAAAGCCACTGTCCTGGAGTCGATTCTGACTCACAACGCCCCTAGAGGACAGAGAAGAACTGCCCCAGAGGGTTTCCAAGGCTGTCAATCTTTACAGGGGCCGACTGCCACATTTTCTTCCCAAAGAGTGGCTGATGGGTTCAAACTGCTGACCTTTTGGTTCCCAGCCGAGTGCTTAACCCCTGTGCCACCAAGCTCTTTCATTCATACACGAACTGCTAGCGAAACTGTTAGTTGGTGCAACATTTCCGGAAGGCAATGATGGAAAAACAATTGTCAAGACCATCACTGTACAAAAAAAAAAAACCCCGCAAATAATCTAAATGGCCAAGAAGTCAAGATACTAGTAAGCACTTGCTCTCAAGTGGATTCCGACTCCTGGTGACCCCACGTGAGGCAGAGGAGGTACTGAAAACCAAAGGGTGGTTGTCTGGAATCAGTCACCGGGCCTTTTTCCGAGGCCCCTCTGGGTGGACTTGAACATCTAACCTTTCAGTTAGCTGTGTGTACCACCTGCTGCTGTGAGATACCGTCAAGTCAGCACCGACGCAGCGACCCACAACAGAACGGAACACTGCCCAGCCCTGCGTCAGCCTCACCATCCGTGCTGCACCCGAGCCCATCGCTGCAGCCGCTGTGTCTGCCCATCTCGTTGGCGTCTGCCCCTTTTTTGCTGACCCCCTACCACCTGGGGACTGCAAACGAATTACACTGCCTGCTAAAGCTGCTCGGAACACCCACAGCTGCCGGGAAGGATGGTGGAGAACACTGCTAAAGGCAGCGTGGGTCTGGGTACCCCAGGAAGAGCCATGTGCTTCGAGGCCTAGGTTTCTCCTGGGTGAGGGGAACTTCGGGTATGTCTCCCTCGCCTGGGTGGTCACGAAGCTTGAGTGAGGAAACGTCCATAAAGCATTTGGCTTTGCACCTGGCAGTGCTTGCAGTGGTGTGGCTGGCTTTGTTACGGTCTTTCGTGCCATGGGCTTTTAACTCCCGCCAAATGACTAGGTGAGGCTGTGGAAACGAGGTGTTTCTGGCCCTCCCAGGGCCTTGGGCGGCTTGGTAATGATGCAAATAAGGTGCATGGCACCCTTTGCGGGGGGGGCGTGAAAATCAGGTGTCTGGAACCCCAACAAGGGCATTGGTCAGGTTTGCCATCTCCCTAAGTTTAAGATGAGCCAATCCGAGAGGTGGAAAGGGGGACCTCCCAACCACCAAAAAGAAAAGCTAAGAGGGAGGACATCCCTTAGACCCCGGGCTCCTGCACTGAGAAACCCCTAGACCCAGGAAACAGAGCTGTAACAGCAGAGACGGGATGAGACGCCACCGAGTGGGAGCAGAGACCCCGAAGCAGAGCCAGGGGATGGTGCAGTGGGCTTTCCGGCCCTCACAGCAAGAACCAAGTGCCTCCAGGAAGGAGGCTTGGGGGCAAAGTGGGGTGCCGCCAGGCACTTACCTGGAGCTAAAGAGCTTTGTGACACTTGCCCAAGCAGGGCAGAGGCCAGGCTGAGGGGCCAAGAGCTAGAGAGAGTGTGCCTGCGAGCACAGACAAGAAGGTGTCCCGACCAAAGTACGCAGAGCCATTCCTAGTCCTGAATTATAACCTCATTAGTTCCCTTAAAAAAAAATTAAAAAAAAAAATCACTGCCAGTCAGTCAATTCCAATGCACAGCGCCCCTAGAGGACAGAGTGGAACTGCCCCACAGGGTCTCCAAGGCTGTCAGTCTTTACAGAAGCAGACTGCCTCCTCTTTCTCCTGCAAAGTGGTGCAATAATTTTTCATGGCCTGTTCAATTTCTTCTTTCGTTATGGGTCTGTTCAACTTTTCCATCTCAGTCTGTGTTAGTGTAGATAGGTAGTATGTTTCTAGAAATCTGTCCATTTCTTCTAGATTTTCAAATTTGTTGTAGTACAGTTTTTCATAGTCTCCTGCTATCCTTATTTCAGTTGGTTCTGTTGTGATGTTGCCCAATTTCTCTTATTCCTCTCATTTATATTCTCTCCCTCTTTTCCCTTATTAAATTTGCCAGTGGATTGTCAATTTTATTAACCTTTTCAGAAAACCAACTTCTGGTCTTGTTGATTTTTTCTATTGCCTATTTTCTGTTTCATTGATTTCTGCTTGAATCTTTATTATTTCCTTTCTTCTGGTGACTGTAGGCTTTTCTTGCTGTTCTTTCTGTAATTGTTGGAGATGTTGATTTAAGTTGTTTATTTTGGCTTTTTTTTTTTTTTTACATTTTAGTGAAATACACAAAACTAAAGTGACATGGGTCAATGGATTTTTTTTTTTAGTGTTCCCTCACTCCCCATAACCAATAAAGGAAGTTTCCTTCCATATATAAACCTTGACGTTTTACAATAATGAACTAAGACTGTATTTGTCCTTCTGTGATTGACTTTTTTCCCTCAGCACAATGTCCTTCAAGTTCATCCATGTTATGCGGTGTTTTGCAGATTCTACATTATTCTTTAGGGTTGCACAGTATTTCATTGTGTGTATGACCATAGTTTCTGTTGTGATGTCACCCAATTCCTTATTTGTGTTATTTGTATTCTCTCCCTCTTTTCCTTTGTTAAATTTGCCAGTGGTTTGTCAATTTTATTAATCCTTTCAAAGAACCAATTTCTAGTCTTGTCAATTTTTTCTGTTGTCTATTTTGCTTCGTTTATTCCTACTTGAATCTTTATTATTTCCTTTCTTCTGGTGACTGTAGGGTTTCTTTCTTTCTTTTTATTGTGATTTGGGTGAAAATTTACAAATTCACTTGCCATACAAGTTCACATACACTTTGTCTTATGACACTGACTACAATTTACCCCAATGCAACAGCTCCCCTCCCACTTCCTCCCGATAGTCACCTCTTCCCTGTGTCCATCCCTCCATGCACTCCTGCCCCCTGAGCTGTCTCCCTGTGCATACACAGCCCTTCTTTTTCCCATGATTGATCTCTCCAAGGAGTCTATCTACCACAGGTAAATGTTCAACTCCTATGCCTATCTTTTGTTTGGCTCGAAGCCACAGGTGTGGGTTCAATTCCAGTCCGGATGGGCAGGTAGGGGCCATAGTCTCAGGGATTCCACCAGGCTCTTTTAGGCCAGCAAACCTGTTCCCTCCACTTTTTTTCCCAAATGATTTTGAGTTTTATTCCACATTGTTCTCCCTCTCTATGCAGGATCTCCTACATAGATCCCACTCTGAGTGGTTGACAATGGTAGCCAGGCACCATCTAGTTCTTCTGGTCTCAAAGTCACATATAGGCTGTGGATCGCATGGTACACCAGTTGCTAGGATTAATCTTTGGTTTTCTTCATTCTTTGCTCCGGATGAGGAGAGATGCATCGTTGCATCTAGATGGCTGCTTGCAAGCTTTTAAGATCCCAGTCACTACTCGCCTAAGTAGGGGATGGAACAATGTTTTGTGTAGTATGTTATGACTGTAGGCTTTTCTTGCAGTTCTTTTTCTATTGTCAATGTTACGTTAAAGTGTTGATTGTGGCTCTTCTTTTTTGATGTGTGCACTTACTGCTATAAATTGGCCTCTGATCACTGCTTTTGCTGTGTCCCAAAGATTTTGGTATGTTGTGTTTTCATTCTCATTTGATTCAAGGAGTTTTTTAATTTCATTTTTTTATTTCTTCTATCACCCAGTCGTTCTCAAGGAGGGTGTTCTTCAGTTGCCCTGTGTTTGCTTTTTCCATTGACCCTCCTAGTGTTGATTTCTAATTTGGAAGCATTGTGATCTGAGAAGATGCTTTGCAGTATTTCAGTGTTTTTAAATTTAAGGCTTGCTTTGTGGCCTAATATATGGTCTATCATGGAAAATGTTCCATGTGCATTGGAAAAGAAATGTATATTGTGCTGTTGTTGGGTGAAGTGCTCTGTAGATGTCTATAAGGTCAAGTTGGTGCATTGTATTGTTTAGCTCTTCTGCATCTTTGTTGAGTTTCTTTCCAGTTCTTCTATCTCTTATTGAAAGTGGTGTATTAAAGTCTCCTACTATGACTATGGAGTCATCTATTTGTCTTTTCAATTCTGTTGAAGTCTGATTTATGTATTTTGGGGCTCTTTCATTGGGTCCATAAATATTTACTGTGGTTATAGCTTTTTGTTCAATTGATCCTTTAATCATTATATAATGTCCTTCCTTGTCTCTTATGATGGTTTCTGTCTTAAAGTCAATTTGATCAGAAATTTATATCGCCACTCCTGCTTGTTTTTGGTTGCCATTTGCTTGATGTATCTTTTTCCAACCTTCAATTTTTAGTCTATTTTTGTCTTTGTCTCTAAGGTGTGTCTCTTGTAGACAGCTTATTGATGGGTTATGTTTTCTTATCCAGTCTGAAACTCCCCCCTCTCTAGTGGTGCATTTAATCCATTGACATTCAGTGTAATTATCGACAAATGTGAATTGGTTGCTGTCATTTTGTTATGTGTTTTTTTTTGTGGTGTTCCTGATTTCTTTGTTGCATATAATTTTCAGTGCTGAACTCATTTTTTTAATGAATCATGTTATCAATTCATTTGTTACTGTTTAGTATTTGCTAAATATCTCTGCTTGTCTTTTTTATTGTGTTGTAAAGGTTTATCATTTTTCTTTGACACTACCCTGTGATTTTTCTCCCCAAGTTTAGAACAGTCCATTCTCTTATAACTCTCTTGCCTTCCTCACCATTTGAAGTTCTGTAATTACACTATTTTTTCACCCTTTCTGGTTTGTAGTTGTCTTCATTTCCAATTGATGTCTCTAGTTCCCTGTTTACAATCTTGTAAGCTTATTTTACTTTGGATACATCCATAGCTGTGTTGGTTTCTGAGTTATGTCATCATGCGAATTAATGGTCGGTTGTTGTTTGCTATTATTGGTTCTCTGTCCAAAGGACTCCCTTTAGTATCTCTTGTTAAGGCTGGTCTGGTTTTAACAAATTCTCTTAACTTTTGTTTATCTGGAAATGTCCTAATTTCATCATCATCATATTTGAGGGACAGTTTTGCTGGGTATATAATTCTTTGTTGGAAATTTTTCTCTTTCAGGGCTTTATATATACCATTCCATTGTCTTCTCACCTGCATGGTTTCTGCTGAGAAATCAGAGCTTAGTCTAATTGGTTGTCCTTTGTAGGTAATTTTTTGTTTTTTCTGTGCTGCTTTTAGGATTCTGTCTGTGCAGCCCCTGGCTAACAGAATCAATTTTTAGGTTAATTCTTAGGTCCTAACGCCACTTGTCAATATCCAAACTGTCCGTGCTGTCAGGATCGCAGACAGTCCATAGCTCCATGTGTCTTTTTCTCTGTTTTCATGCAGATTCTTCTACTAGTTGGAGTCCAGTCCACTTCTATATCCTTCCTTTCAAAGCTTAAGGCTCCAGGATTATCTTCTGTATCTGTGTTCATTGGTTCCTCCTTTCTTCGTTGAAGAGGGTCTGTGTAGTTTGTCTGCCTATTCCACCATCTTCAAATGAAATAATCCATGAAGCGGTGTGGTGGTGAGTTCAACCCGTTGATGTTTTGGTTATCAGCCAAATGCTTTAACCACTACGCCACCAGAGCTCCTTGGTATCTCCCTAATATGCCCCATAAGCAGACATATATCCTGTGAGTTCTGAGAGGCCACTGGAAAAAAATTATGGAACCCAGCACAGGAGCAGAGTGCCCTGGGAGGGAGGGCGGTGCAGGAATTGATCCAAAGGCTGGAGAGCAGAGGCAGGGCTGACTTCTTGCCTTGGCCCTCGGGCTACTGATGCTGACAGTGATCCTCTCCCAACCCTGGGGCAGGAGTCTAAGGCTGCCATCCCGCCTTGATTACAGCACTCAGTGAAGACCATCGACCATCCTCACCAGCATCCTGCACTGTAAGAAGGGCGTGGAGGGGCAAACCACCTCCTCTAACTTCACAGTCATCAGCAGCAACCCAATGCTGATTCCTATGAGGCCAAGGTCAGACCTGCCTCCACCCTCCAACCTTTTGACCAGTTCTGACACCAGCCATACCACAGCACTCTCTGCTTCTCTGCTGGCTTTAGGAGTTCCCTGCCATGCCATGCCCCACAGGACTCAGAACGTATCCACGACTGAGGGGTTTATTAGGGAAGTAGCTGGTTACTATCCAGGATTGAGAAGGACTCAGTGCACTGTGGTAAATTACCTGGTATGGCTTTTCTAGCCATAAGTCTTTCTACCACTCCATTGTGGAATTTGCTGTGAGCAACTGAGGAGCTCCTGTTTGTAAATGTTATCCTAAGGTATTTCTGTTGGGCACGGCACAAAGCAATGTTCTGGGAGGTTTGCTCTCTCTCAGGTGCTTAGAATTCTGAAGTTATGATTGGATGGTTTGGCCACTCTGCCAGCCTCAAAAGGAGGCCTCCTAGAGGCAGACGGTGCTCTGACTGCTGGTTGAGAAAGACGTGCTGCTGAAAGAGACATGTGCTCTTGAGAGACACATGCTGATGGGAAAGAGACACAAGACACACACTGTTGGGAGTGTGACTGTGAGAGACTGTTAGGAGAGAGACTGTGGGCTGAGAGAGAGACTGAGCATTTTTCCTGAACTTGAATTGTAGCCTGGTGCTTCCCCAGTAAACTCCATAATCTGTGAGTTCTGTGTGGCCACTGCAGCAAATTATCGAACCCAGCAGAAAGGTGGTGAGTGCTTAGGGAGGAACGGTTGGTGTCAGAGTTGGTGAAAGGGCTGGAGGGAGGCAGCATGTCTGGCCTCCCAGGAATAGGCCTTGGGCTACTGATGGTGATTCCGTCTTCCTCTTGTGCAGTTAGAGGAGGTCAGAGGATGTGGCCTCCTTGCCTTTTTAGCTCTCAGGATACAGTTCTTTGATCAGGATAGTTCCTTCTTATCCTGTGCTGCTGGAGCCAAGGCCCTGTGGTCAGCAAGGTCTGCTATACCCGTCTGTGCCAGCACTGCACTGGCTACAGCTGCACTGGCGTTTCTCTCCGTCTCTCACGTTACAACTCTGTTTCCTGGGCACAATGGTTACACATTCGGCTGCTGACCAAAAAGCTTGTGGGTCAAACCCACCCAGCGGCTCCAGGAAAGAAAGAGCCGGAGGTCTGCTGCCATAAAGATCACAGCCCCGGGGACGCCATGGAGCGGTGCTACTCTGTCATACAGGACACTGAAGTCAGAATTGACTTGATGGCACCCAACAACTAGAAGTTAATGAAGAAGAAATATTCACAAGTCAGAACGCAGCAGCCCAGCCCCACGTCCAGGTCCTTACCTAAAACGTATGGAACAGGTCAAACCCAAGATCAAGGTGCATGGGGCCAGGCCCACCATCTGGCTGGCATGTAGAGGTGAGTGAGGCGGGGACCGGGCCCACCGTCTAACTGGCATGTGAGGGCAGGAGAGTGGGGACAGGGCCCACCGTCCGGCTGGCGTGTGGGGGCGGGCGAGTGCCTGCATCCACTGAGGTTTTGCTCCAACTGACAACCCTGCTTTTTACGTGTTTTAGCTTGTGGGTTACGTAAGGATTCTTCCCTGGGTTGGATCAGAACCAGTCATCCTAGACAGCATCTGTAGCTGCTACCAGAAAACCCCTGGCTGCACGCCCTCCCTTGCCCGAGACACGCACCCAGGAAGTCGCACAGGGGCGGGTCCAGCACCCTCAGGAGCAGCAGCAGTTGCCCAAGCTGCCGCTTCATGGTCTCCTGGCTCTCCTCAAAGTTCCCATGCTGGGGGGAGAGAAGGCCGTGTGAGGAGCCAGGACCCTCTATCCCGGGGGACCCGGCTCCCACCGCCTTCCCTGGGCCTCACCACAAGCTCCATGAAGCCGCAGAAACACCAGAAGGCGTCCACCTCGTTCTGAATGACGTAGAGGATCGGGGAGAGGAGGTCACTCATGCCCTGGACGTAGCCTGAGGGGACACGGGGTCAGGGTCCAGCCCAGCCCTTGGGGGCCCCCCGGAAGCCGCCGCCCCCGCCTGGCCCTCTCACCGAGGTCAAAGTGGTACATGCAGTAGGTGAGGAGGATGTCGTTCAGCAGGCCCAGCCCGGGGTTCTCGGGACCCTCGTAGAATCTGTTGTTCCTGTCTGTGCGGCTCACGTCTCGCTCTGCAGGGAGGGTACAGGGGATGCGCAGGGGGAAGGTGAGGAAGCTCCTGCCCTCAGCCCCCAGCCTCCATTCCTCCTCTGGACAGAAGACCCCAGCCTGGGGCTCACCCAAGTGAGCGGGTGGAGGGTCCAGTTTAAGCAACAATCATGAACACTCCTGACGTGAGGCCCTAAGCTTCCCAATCACCATGCCCGTGACAACCCAGCAGCTGCTGACTCATCTACCCAGTGCCCACGAGTCTATTCTGACCCACAGCGCCCCTAGAGGACAGAGTGGAACTGCACCACAGGGTCTCCAACGCTGTCATCTTTACAGAAACTGACCGCCACATCCTTCTCCTGCAAATTAGCTGGTGGGTTCAAATCAATTATCTTTTGATCAGCACCCAGGTCTTAACCCCTAGGCCACCAGAGCTCCTTCTAAATCCATTTCCAAACTCACTGTCGTGGAGTCAGATCTGACTCAGAGAGACCCCTCCTTAGGTTTCCAAGGCAGTGTAACTATGGAAGTAGATTGCCCAACCTTCCTTCTAAGGAGTGGCTGGTGGGTTTGAACCACCAGCCTTCTAGTTAACAGTCATATGCCTTAGGCACTATACCACCAGACAGGTGAGCAAACCAAAGCTCAGAACACAGAAGAATTGGCCAAGACCTCAGAGCCTGTAAATGGTAGGGCTGGGATTTGAACCCAAGGTGGCCTGGCTCCCCTCCCCTCTTCCCTTTCTCTGCATGCCCCATTCTTGTCCTCCCCACCCCCAGCTGCTCCTCACCCCACTTCCCTCCCAGATGACCTTGGCCCTGGTCTTGGGGAGGGAAGGGCTCCCTCGTGCTCCCCCCCACTCCCCAGCCTCCCGTGGTTTCCCACCCACCGATGAGGCTGCGGTAGCCGCGCAGCAGTGAGTTCCTCTGTTCCTGCTCGGGGCTCACGGACTTCCACTGCAGCTTCATGCGGAAATACTCATCCCTGCAGGGCAGGCAGGGGAGCCGCCACGTCAGGACCGGGGCGTGCCCTGCCGTGTGGCACCCCAGGCAACAGTGGGCCCTCGGGAGCCCCCACCCCAGTGCCTCCTCTGTCAGGGTTCAGCTCCCAGCTTCCCTCAAACCAGAACGGGCCACCCTGTCATTCCTGACACTGCCCCTCACACATCCCCTGCTGGCATCTTCCACACACTGAGCATCTGGGGGCATCTGTAGAAAGCCTGTCACCCCCCACTGTGCTGAGTAAGGGGTTATGTGTTGAAGTGGGTCCTCCAAAAATATGTGCTGTAAATCCTGACCCCTGTGCTTTTGGTTATGAGCTCTGGAAGCCCTGGGATTTAAAGCACTGGGCTGCTAACCAAAAGGTCAGTGGTTCAAACCCACCAACCGCTCCATGAGAGAAAGATGAGGCAGTCTGCTTCTGTAAAGATCACAGCCTTGGAAACCCTACAGGATAGTTCTACTCTGTCCTCCACAGGCGCTGTAAGTCAGAATGGACCCGTAGGCAGTGGGTTTAGCTTTGGTTTTGGTACTTTAAGTATGATCCCATTTGGGAAGGGTTTTCTTTGATGTATCATTGAGGCAGGATTAGTGGAGCGTGTGCCTGCAGCAAACTTCTTTTGAGACATAAAAGAACAGAGATGGGGTCAGATAGATGCCAAGACACACGCAGATCAAAGAACCAGGAAGCAGAAGCTCAGAAGAAAACAAGGACCCCCCGCCCCCCTTGAGCGGGCGTCCTGAATCTGGACTTCTGGCCTTCTAAACAACAAGAAAATAAACTTGTGTGTTGGAGCCACCCCCTTGGGGTATTTCTGTCATAGCAGCCCCAGAGAGCTGAGACAGAATAGGGGCTAGGTCATCTCAGGCACCACTGCACCTCCAGCCCAGAAAGCACTTAAGCATCAGGAAGGTGGATAAGTAAGTCCCACAGGGTCTCACAGGGCTATAAACATGTTTCAAAGCTGTGATGACTGAAACAGTATGGCACAAGGAGGAACACACAGATGACAGACTGGAGATGGACCCTCGGGGCAGGAACCGGGTGCTTGGACGGCCCCACCCATGGGGACCTAAAGTCAGTATTCATGGGGTAAGCCCAGTGCCACCTACTTCTGCACCTGCTGTTAGGGGCCACGCTGGGTAATGGGAACACATTGTTGGTCAAAAACATCCAAGTAACTTGAAAAAGACAAATACTGGGAACAAATGGCAGGGGCAAATTTGAAATGGCTCCAGTAACGTGTACTACAGAGGTTTTGCTGCCAAACACTACAGGGGTGCCAGGGACGGGCTCCACCTAGATGGGATCTATGAATCCCGGTCAGACGAGCAAATGTATTCAAAACAAAGGCCCTGCCCAGTGGCTCTCAGCCCCTGCCTCATGCCAGGCAGGGCGCCCAGCAGGACATGTGCCTCCCCACACCTGGAGCATGAGGACAAGGCTGACATTCCAAAGGTGGGAGCCCAGGGCTGCGGGGCCAGAGGCAGGACCACTCAGCTCCACCACCATGCCCAGGAGGCCACGTCCCAGGCCGCAGGGACCGAGGCGTCTCACTCACGTTTTCTTGCGCACGTGGGCCTTGTGCTCCTCGGCCGAGCCCTCCCAGCTGAGGTACCCCAGGAGGAACTTCCAGGCCTCACGCCTTAGGCTGGGGCTCAGACCCTGCAAGGGGGTGGGCAACTCAGAGGAACTCCTCAAGGCTGCCTGCCGTGCTCCCAGCCCGGGGCTCCCTGCCCACCCGAGCACCTCACCCCTGAGAAGATCCGCGCCTTCAGCTCGGGGACCTGCTGCAAGCGGCCCTCGGGGCCCACATGGTGGGCCCACTCCTCCTCTGTGACCGGGGCACCCCGCTCCACAGCTGGCCTTGGCCCCAGCTCCACCTGTGGACACAAGGCAAGTGTCTGCAGGGTTGCTGAGTCCTCTTCTTTGCACCCCAACCATGTCTCACTCCACCTCCCAGCAAACTCCACGTCTTTCTTAACTCAGTGTGCAGGCCAGCGTGAATGGGCAGGAAGAGCCTCTTGTCTGGGTGAGGAACAAACTGCCCCAACTCCAGAATGGTCCCCCAGTAATGAGCCATTGGACCGGCACTCACCACATGTCCAGCACAGCTGTGAACACTGCCCGTGGATTGAGCACTCATGTAGTCTGATGAGAGTGGGACCGTTAGTATCTCTGATTTACTGAGGTGGAAACCAAGACCCAAGAAAACGAAGTCACATGCCCAAGTGGCACAGCCAGAAAGGAGTGGCATCTACCCAGATACTCACACAGGAAATGACCTCGAACCCAGGCTCTGGCTCATCTTCTGGTAGGGGAAGCAGGTCGGAGGAGGACCCCTCCAGATGTGGCTGCAGGGCTCCCCGGAAGAAGTTGGTCACACGGGAAAAACTGCTGAAGGTGGTGGAGTAGGGGTCCTGGAGAAAGCGCTAGGGCCAAGGCCAAAACATAGTCATGGCCCTACACCTTCCTGTCTCACTCCACTATAGCTTGCCCCTTCTAATCTCATACGTTACAGTCTACCCCTTCATATCTTACCCACTAGAATCTGCCCTTTCCTGTCTCTCACTGCAGTCCACCCCTTCCCATCTTACCCACCAGTCAGTTTCTTCCTGTCTTACCCTCCTATAGTCCACCCCTTTCTGTCTCACCTATTAGAGTCTCCTCCTTCCTGTCTCACTCACTACAGTCCACCCCTTCACATCTCATCCACTAGAGTCTGCCCCTTCCTGTCTCACCCCACCACAGTCCACCCCTTTATGCCAACTCTGCACACCCTTTCCTGCCCACTCCCTGCCTGGGGGCTGGGTCCCTGATTGACTCACAGACACTACGTTAGAACTGTCCTGGTCGAAGAGCTGGAGATGATAGAAGGAATTGGAAAGAGCTGAAGAGTCGTGGGGGAAGACAAGGTAGAGGCGAGAATCCTGTGGCGAGCTGTGAGGGAAGAGGGATGGCATCTGGTGACGAACAGGAAGAAAAGCTTTGCATCCTATGCCATCTGTGCCCACCCCACACGCATCCACTGCCTTGTTGCAGAATCCCAACTGTGCTGAGTCCTCATCTCAGGGCACATGTCTGAGGGCTGGGGATGAAGATCTGAAATCACAGCTGGGTCCAAAGGGGGAGCATATGACCCAGGGCTAGTCAGTGAGGGCATCCCATGTCTCTGGCCAAGGTGTGATGCAAAGATGAGCATGTGACACAAACTGGGCCAATGAGAGGCAGCCCAGCTCTGGTAGTGTAATGCCTAAGGCACTTGACTGCTAACCAGAAGGCTGGCGGTTCAAACTCACCAGCCAGTCCTTGGAAGGAAGATGGGGCAATCTACTTCCATAGCAATACTGCCTCGGAAACCCAAGGAGGGGTCACTATGAGTCAGGTCCGACTCGATGGCACATAACAACAACATCAACAGTGCCGCTCTGGCAAAGGCATACATACCACAAATGGGACGGCCTGAACAAACAGGACTTTATTCTCTCACAGTTTGAAGACTTTAAGTCTGAGTTCAAAGTGCCAGGCTCTAGGGACTGGATGAAAGCCCCTCAACCTTGGGGTCTAGTTCTGCCTCCTGCTCCCGGCCCACTGGAGCTAGAGGCATTCCTTCACTCAAACAGCTGCTGGCTGCTGACACACCCAAGGTTGAGAAGTAAAAAGGCACAGTCCCGATGTTACCAAACCACACGGCAGGCCATTGACTTAAGTCCATTGTAAGTCCCAAGGTCGGCAGAGCACGGCAGGCTGCTGAGCAACGACACGGCTACATGCAGGGTCCAAGCGTGCCACAGGCTAGAGACCATTCCCAAGGCTTCTCCTTATAAACATGAAGCAGACCACATCCCAAAGGCAGCTACTCAGCTGCTTGTGGTAGATGCCACCATGGAGCTGATCACCAGTCTCATCATGGGGAATAACTACCACCAGCTGCCCAGCCACTCAACCAGGCCCAGCCAACCTGACACACAACCTTAACTACTACAGTCAGTTTGTGGCCCCGGCAGGAGGGCCATGCCTTGAAATCAACAAGGAGTTTGTATGTACATCTACGCAGCCAACCCCACGGAAGTTTTTTCAGACCAGCAGATAGCAGAGAAATGGCAAAGACCCTCCTACAAGAGCTGTAACACGAGTCAGGGACCATAACACTGAGCAGAGCACCAAGCCCAGCAGCAGCAGAGCCAGCAGCGGCAGGTCTCAAACCGGCCCCTCGTCAGTGGCGACAGGCGGTGGGGCCAAAAGAAGACTGTCCTGTGGGAGCCAAGAGGAACCTGTCCTCAGAGGCCTGAGGGGAGCCTGTCCTGAGGGCACCAAGAAGAAGCATTTGTTCTGGCTCCCTGGTGCCACTGTGACAGGAATATACCACAAGTGGCATGGCCTTAACAAACAGGAGTTTATTCTTACAATTTGGAGCCTTTAAGTCCAAGTGCAAAGTGCCAGGTTCTAGGGCCTGGATGAAAGCCCCTCAACCTTGGGGTCCAGCTCTGCCTCCTGCTTCCGGCCCACTAGAGGCTAGAGGCATTTCTTCATTCAGACAGCTGCTGGCTGCTGAGACTGACATGCCCAAGGTTGACAAGTAAAAAGGCACAGTCTCGATGTTACCAGACCACACGGCAGGCCATTGACTTAAGTCCATTGTAAGTCCCAAGGTCGGCAGAGCATGGCAGGCTGCTGAGCAATGACACGGCCACATGCAGGGTCCAAGCATGCCACAGGCTAGAGACCATTTCCAAGGCTTCTCCTTATATACAGGAAGCAGACCACATCCCAAAGGCAGCTACTCAGCTGCTTGTGGTAGATCCTACCATGGAGTTGATTGCCAGTCTCATCATGGGGAATAACTACCACCAGCTGCCCAGCCACTCAGCCAGGCCCAGCCAAGTTGACACCCAAACTTAACCACCAAAGTCCTGTCCTCAGGGGGTCAAGAGGAGGCAGTCCTGAGGGGGCTGCTAGGAGGTCTGCATGGCTGAGAGGGGCTGTGTAGCAGAGAAAGAAGGGCCTGCTTGCTTGAAGGCCCAAGAGGCGCTAAGAATGATCCTGAAATGAAGAGCAGAGGGAGAGGCTGCTCCTCTCCTCCCTGCTTCCTAGCCCTGATCCTGAGTCGTCTACTGACCCTGACCTCCAACTGTACCATTACTTCCCCGGCGAACCTCAGAGCCCTGAATACGGTCTACGAATTCTGTGCAGCCACTGCAAGGAATCACTGAACCCGGCAGAGAAGGAGAAAGGGCCGTGGGAGAGACGGTTTTGTCAGAACTGGCCACGGAGGCGGAGAGTGGAGGTGCGTCTGGACTCCAACACTCCTGCCTGGTCTTGGCTCACATCATCCTCCCCCAGAAATCAGACAAGTTGTGACCCCACGACCATCACTTTCCAGGCACAAACTCAGACAGAGACACAGGAACCCTTTATGACATTCTGGGACCAAGATCTTGCCTGGCACCAACAAACCAGCTGCCTCCTGGCTGATTACAACTGACGGCAACGTCATGTGCATCTGAATAGAACGGCACCCTGTACGACTTTCAACGGCCGACTGTGTGGAAGGGCACTAACAGCCCTTTCTCCCCAGCCACCTCTGGATGGACTCAAACCTTCAACCTTTTGGTCAGCAGCTGAGCACATCCTTTGGACGGTTCAGGGACTCTGTCCCAAGTCAATACTCCCCTCTTACCTCTGAGTTACAGACCCTAGTAAGTTCTCTTGTCCCCTCCTCCAAACCAGTTTGTGTTGTGTTTCTTTCACGACCCTGAGGGGTCAGGATGCAGCTGTGGAGGGACAGCGCCCGGCACTTGAAGCTCACCTGGCCAACAGCAAGTAGCGGCTGAGGACGCGGAGCAGGGCGCGGGTGCCCCCACAGTGGAAGTGCAGGGCGGGCAGGGAGCCTCCGGCCTGGGTCACCAGGACCAGGTAGGCCCAGTTCAGGCTCGGCTTGGAGCGGCGGATGGATTTGAGCTCCCTCAGACTCACGGAGAAGGCCCAGGAGCCCTGGGAGGAGCTGGGCTCTGCACCTAGAGAGGACACCACCGTGCCGGGAGGAGGCACGGGGAGCCGGAGGGGCCGCATCAACTAACCATGGCCGCTCGGCACACGGCCAACTCCCGACAGCCCTACCCTGGGTTAGCCCAGTTCCTGCCCTGTGAGCTTCAGGTCACCTCACGTGTCTGTGGAAACACTCCAACTGAGTACAACGGGAAGGGAGCCTGGAGAGAAGTCAGGTGGATGTGTGCCCGCTCCCAAATCTTCTCAGGGCTCCCAGGACCCTGAGGGTAAGACCAGAGTCCTCCACGTGGACCTGGAGGTACTTCAGGTCTGTCCTCTGCACCCTCCCTCTGACACACCTCCAACCCTGTCTCCACTCTAGACCCAGACGAAAGGCTGGTGACTTTCTCAACACACCAGTGCCTCATGCCCTGTCCCCTGGACAACTCCCAAGTGTCCCTCAGAGCCCAGAGCTGGCATCACCTCTTCCTGGAAGGCCTCTCCACCGCCCCAGGCCTCCTCTGGCCACCCCTACCGCCAGTGCAACTCCCAATAGTGTAACTCACTCTGTATCGTGACGTGACTGACTGCATCTGGTGCCCCCACCAAAATGGAAATCTTTGGGGGTCAAGACTCACTTGGGGGTACCCATGGCCAAGCCAAGGAGCCTTGGTGGCACAGTGGTTAAGGGTTTGGCTGCTAAGCGAAACATCAGTGGTTCAAACCCACCAGCCGTTCCACAGAACAAAGACGTGGCAGTCTGCTACCGTAAAAATTACAGCCTTGGAAACCCTGTGAACGGTATTATTCTGTCCTGTAGGGCCACTCTGAGTCCATATCGACTCAGTGGCAACGGGCAAACGGCCAGTCCAAGAGTGAAAAGGATGAGCAAGGCTGCAAATCCTAAGGAGCCAGAAATAGTTGGGCCAAGTTGGGAAGCCAGTGCTGGGTGGCCATTTTGACTGAGGGCAGCAAAGCCTTTGGAGCTATGACCACTGAGGGCAAGGACTGCCCCCCTCCCCCGGGGCACCAGCTCGGCCTACCTCTTGTGGGCTCTGAGTGGCGGGGTTGTGGCCGCACGGTGCTGATGACAGCCCAGTCAGGTTCATAGCCAGGGTCAAAGGTGGGTTCTTCTTCAGACAGGCAGGAGTCGCCCCCACTGGAGTCCTTGGATGATAGGAATGAGAAGTGAATGAGGAACTGTGGACTCAGAAAACTTCCAGATCTGAGCCACGAGGCATCCTAGAAGGCAGCTCCATCAAACAGAGGGCAGCGGAGGCTCGGGGCAGGCACAGCACTTACTCGGGGTCACCGAGTGCAGCCACAACTGAGCTAGCCGCCAAACCAACTCCCTCATTGGTCTGACTCACCAGGCACCACTGCACAGGGAGACACTGTGTGACGGGGGAGAGAGCCCTGCAGTCACCACCCCTAAGATGAGCTGGAGGCAGCTGCCCAGGGCTCTGGCTGTCTCTGTTGATGACCAAGGAGGAAGAGAGTCCTAGTCACATTCACATCCAGTGGGACCTCTGGGGCCCACTTCAACTGTCCAGGGTCCAGACTGTGGCTGTGTGGCTGCCGGGAAATATGTGTGGTGGCAACGGCCTCCTGTCCCATAGCTGGCAGCTTTTGGGGGGTTGGACTCAACACTCCCCAGCAGTGGCTTCCCTGGCAGCTCACGTCTGTGTCATCCCATTGAGAACGTTGGAGGCTGGGCAGGATCCCGACCGTGTGTCTACCCGACAGTCACTTTTACTCCTTTTCCCAGGCTGGCAAAACAGAGGCCGATTCATCTAAAGGCTGTTTTCCCAGCTTTCCTCACAGCTGTGAAGGAGTTCTGCTGGTGTAGTGGTTAAGGAATTTGGCTGCTAACCAACAAGTCAGTGGTTCAAACCCACCAGCCACCCCACGGAAAAAAAGATGAGGCCATCTGCTTCCATAAAGAGTTACAGCCTTGGAAACTCAGTGAGGGTTGCTGTGAGTCAGAATCGACTTGATGGCAGTTTGGTTTTTAGTTCTAGTCATGAGTGGCCTAGTGACTCAAACCCAGCCAGTGGGAGCCAAGGGGACATCTACAGGGGGTTGGAGGAACACACGGGACACGGTGGCAGGCAGGGCTGCACCCCGTCTGGCCAGAGCTCCCAGGTCCTGGATACACAAGCTGAGTTGTCCCCTTGCCCTCCAAGAAGCTAAGGGACTACGGAGGCAGCTGTTCCCTGGCCCAGGGGCACCGTCAGCCCCATTTCACAGAGGAGGAAACCAAGGAGCAGAAGGGAACTGGTACCCCAGGGTCACACATGCCCCAAGGGAAGGTCTGGGATTAGTGGGGATCCCCTAGATGCCTTCAATGCCCCAAACCTAGAACAAACCAAGTGGAGACCGGACGGAGAGGGAAGCCTACCTTCTTGGAAAAGAGGATTTGGGTAGAATCTCCAGCCTCCTCTACCGGAGCCCAGTGCAGCAGAACGTCATTGTCCTAGGGGAACAGGAAGGGGAAGGATTACTGGAGCTGCCATCCCAGCCCCCAAACCTCATTTCCAAAGTTTTCCACCAAAAGTCCGCACCCTCGGCCTTCTACAGCCTGGCCCCTCAAACTGGTCCCCACCTCCAGCCCTAGAGACCCTACCTCCACCCTGCCCCTCCACACCCACCTACCTTCTCCACGACACGGATGACGCCGGCAATGAGCGAGTCTGGATCCTGGTGTTTCTTGGCGCTGGTGTGCAGGTACACGCCTCCCTTTTCAAACACCACCTGAGGGGCGGGGCCCGGTGAGGGGCGGGGCCCGGTGAGGGGCGGGGCCCGGTGAGGGGCGGGGCCCGGTGAGGGGCGGGGCCCGGTGAGGGGCGGGGCCCGGTGAGGGGCGGGGCCCGGTGAGGGGCGGGGCCCGGTGAGGGGCGGGGCCCGGTCAAAGCGGGAGAAAACACCCAGGGAGGCTTCCCCAGGAGGAAGCCAAGGGGGCGGGCCCCGGGAGGGGAAGGAGCGTTTTCCCTCAGGGGGCGGGGCCTGGGAGATCATTCCGGAGGGGAAGGGGCTGAGGAGCTCTCCTAGTCAGCAACACAGCACGGCGTTCCGGACCTTGTGCATTGCAAAGGAGGCGGGCTGTACGCAGCGCACCTTAAAGAGCTGAGCTCGAGGGGAGCGTTTCCCGGGGAGGCGGGGCCCAGGAAAGCGTCCCAGACGCCTGGGGAGGCGGGGCTAAAAGATATGGGTTGGCTGGGAGGATGACAGCGCGTTTATAAGGTAATGGTGTTTGCTAAGGCCGGTCCGGGCTCTCAGAGCCCTGGCAGGGTCTGAGGGATCACGAGACAGGGGCAATTCACAAAGACAGAAGTGAGCGTATGCGTCCTCGGTGCTTACCCTGTAACCAGGTCCCTCCATAGCCACAGCCAAGGTTCTACTGCGCCTGCCTCCTCCTTTTCCGGGTCAACAATGTATCACATCCGGATATAAAATGCCCCTTCAAGTCCAGATAGTGGTAGTCCCCTGTTCGTTCTAGAGTGGGATTGGACGAAACCACCTTCCAGAATGGGGTGGTTACTGAGAGGTTTAGAATCACGTGGCGCCGACGCTAAAGGTGGAGCAGGCAAACGAGAGGGCGCAGGCGCAGTTTGACCTCCCTCTTCACGAAGAAAACAAGGAGGTGGGACTAAGAGCTCCGCCCCCTAGTTCAAGCGCTCTCTGAAACGCCTACTTACTCCTCCAAGTTATATACTGGCACGGAAGCCAAGGAGATGCCATTTTGCTTGAGGGCACGGCCAGGTTAGCGCGGGGGCAATGCCATCTCTCTGCGAGTCGCAAAAGCAAGATCCCGGAAAAGAAAATGATAAAGGAAAAGAAAGAAGAGGTATACATCACAAGAGGCGTTGTGGGACTCAGTATGACGAGATGAAACTCTCAATGCCCCCCCCCCCCAGAATTCCTGAGTCACTATAGAAAGTAGGCTGGGTTGCCATGTTAAAACTTGGCAAACCAAAGCAAGAGAAGCTGCCATATTGATTCTTTGCCAGTTTTGGTGCTGATGGCGAGAGGAGTACAGGGAAGATACAATATGAGCAGACCAAACCAGCTGGCCGCCAGGTTTATTAACAGGCACTGCTTTCCTTCATTACTGTATAAGAGGGTGATTATGGGCGAGGCGCATCTGGTCGCTTGCCTTAGTTAATCGTAGTCTTGAATGAGCACGTGCGGAATAGCCATATGTCTTGGGGGCATACCAAAAGGGTCTCGGCTTGTTACTGGGCAAGCTGAAGCCTTTCTTGTTACCATCTTTCTTATGGGCATTCCGCTGTCGGCCACTGCGGCCTTCTGAATGAAGTCTCCTGGTGGCCGACGCCTGGGATAAGGGAGGCGGGGCGTGTGTCGTGGAGGCGGGCCAACCACGCGGAAGTGACGCATTACGCCGCCATGTCTTTTGAGGGCCGCGACGGCGCCGAGCCGGCCATGCTGGCTACGGGCACGTGAGTGGAGGCGGTGTTGTGAACTGTGGTGTGGGGAGGATTTGGCTGTCCCGAGTTCGAGGGGCAGTGGGAGGGCGAGCGGCTCACGGGAGGAGTATGTCCTGAGTACATCAGAGAGCAAAGGTCGCCCAGCGACCCTTCTCTGAGCGCTGGGGAGGGGTCGCCTGCGGGAACCGTCGTGTCTGACCCGCCGCAAAACCTAGACAGCCTCATTTTCCCGTCTGCGAACCTACTAGAATCCTTATTTTGGTCGTGGACCGATCCATGGGGTCAGGGGTGGTGGTCGGGGGGCTTTGAGGCGTCTCTCACCCGTCTAAGGGCGGGACTTCCGGTCGCGGCACCCACCTGGGCGGGATTTCCTGTTTCCTTCCCAGAGATGTGTCTGGGTCCTCTCTGGACCCCTGGGCGAGGTGAGGAGGAGTCGCTGAGTGGTTGGGAAAGGCCCCGGGCACTCACCCCATCCCAGGCTTTGGGGTGCATCCTCGACTTCCTCCCTCTTCAGGTGGGCGGAGCTTCCAGTTGCACAGGTGGAAAGAGGGGGGCCTTACTAGTACCCCTCATTCTTTTGGGGCTCACCTGCGTCCCCTCCACCTGGAGTGGATTTCCTCACTTCCTCTTTTCTCATCTTTATCTTCACCCCCATTTCACTTCTTTCAACCCTGTACCCTATGGTCGTTCATAGGTCTAGTTCAGAGTTTCATCCCAATGCCTCTTCCAGGAAGCCCCCTCTCCAGTTCCCTACATGTCAGTAGGGGCCCAACAGAGGGAGAGCCCCAGGCCTCGCACTGCTGATCTGTGGGACCTTGACCCAGTCACTTGTCCCCTCCGGGCCTCAGTTTCCTCTTTTGTCGGCAGAGACAACCTGAAGAGTGTGTGTGAAGCAGTGCACACGCACGTCCTGGTTCCGATGCGCCTTGCGGTCCAGCAGACAGCACTTTCAACTCCGATTCCACCCTTTCTAGCTGTGTGCTTTCTTGCTGGTGTCTTAAATTCTCTGAGCCCCAGTTTCCCTATATGGATAAGGGAAGCAGGATAGCATTGTTGTTGGTGTTCGATGCTATCAAGTCAGTGTTGACTCACAGCAACCCTGTGTACAAGACTGGGCAGTCTACTTCCATAAAGATTTACTGACTTCGGAAACCCAATGGGAGTCGCTATGAGTCAGAATCCACTCGATGGCAGTGGGTTTGGTTTTGGTACAACAGAACACCACACTCTGGTCCTATGCCATCCCCACATTGTCACGCTTAAGCCCATCATTCCAGGCACTGTGTCCAGCCATCTCGTCGAGGGTCTTCACCTTATTGCTGACCCTCTACTTTATCGAGCATGATGTCCTGGTCCAGGCAGGCACTGGTTCCTTCTGACACGTGACCAACATGTGAGAGATGAAGTCTGGGCATTCTAAGGAGCACCCCAGTTGTACTTCCTCCAAGATCGATACGTTTGATCTTTTGCCTGTCCGTGGTGTATTCAGTAGTCTTCGCCGACACCACAATTCAGATGCGTCCATTCCTCTGCGGTCTTCTTTATTCATTGTGCAGCTCTCCCGTGCACATGAGATGACTGGAAAGACTATGTATGGCTCAGGTCAGGCGCACCTTAGTCTTCAAAACGATAGCTTTGCTTTTCAGCACAGGGTAGCGTTGGTGGTTCAGAGCAGGCTCTGGCAGTAGGTACCAGAGTCCAAGTCCCCACTTTCCCTCTTCTCAGAGAGGTGGCCCTGGCCAAGTGACGGAGTCACCCTGGGCTTCAGTTTGTGACTGCAAAGCGGGTGGTCAGGGCTGGTGGAACAACAGAACATGTGTGACACGTTCAGTCTTGCCTGGCGGGTGGTTGGTGCCTGATGACCCTCTTGCCGTGGTATCTGTCAGGGATGGTGGTGCCCCTCTCCTCCTGTGGCTTCCAGCAAGGCCTTTGAGATAACACTTCTGACCTTGGTGGGACAGGTAGGAAAGTGAGCTGACAGGATGTGGAGTCACCTGCTCAGAGGCAGGGCTTCGGAAACAGTGGCTTCTGATCACAGGTCACAAAGGGCCTGGGAGTTCAGTCCAAGATCCAGACTCCCTCCTCCCGTTCGCTGGGGCCCTGGCAGGTCTCTGCTTGATTGCCTCCCGTGATGGGTGCCCACTCCTCCCCCAGGGAGACTGCTCTGCTTCTGAACAGCGCTGGCTCAACCACCCTGGTTCATGGGAGAAGAAAGGCACAGAGAGGGCCAGTGAGTGGTCCAGGGTCACACAGCAGGTTGGAGACAGAGGCAGGGCCAAAGCCCCCGCCCCGTGCTCTCCCCATCTCCCGTAAGGAGATGTATCCAGCAGGTTGTCCTCGTAGGGCAGGCCCATCCTGGGGAGCTCGCAGTCTGACGGAGGAGGCAGACAGGTAACAGCTGTCCCCGGCTCGGGTGAGGGGGCTCAAGGGATGGTACCTGCGCCCTTGAGGGGCCTCTGGGAAGACATCCCAGAGGAACCGCAGGAACAGAGGCTTTAGGGAGAACAGAAGTTCCGTGGGGGGATGTCCACGCACCAAGATCCGCTCACTCACCATTTTCCTCATTCATCCAACCTTCCTGCCTTCAGGGCAGGGCTGGGCGTGCAGGAGGCGCCGCCTCTCCAGAGGGGAGGGACGTGTGCTCAAACGGGTCGCTCAGGCATTGTGGGAGCCCAAAGGAGGGGCCGGGGTCATCTAGACACGAGATACCCAAAGGGTGAGAGGGAGACTGAATGGGGACAAGCGACCCACGTGGGAAGTCTGAGAGCCTGTGTGTGTGTGTGTGGGGGGGGGAGGCTGGAGTAGACCCTATTGGCTGTGATGTGGGGGCGGAGCATCGAGAGGGGCGGGGCCACACACCCCAGGCCTTCCACTGCAGATCTGAGTTGCTGGGACCTTGTCCTCCGGACACTGGGTAGGGGGACCCGCAGCTCTGGGCATAGAAAGATCCCTCTAGGGCTCAGGTCGGGGTGGGCTGAAAGCCAGGAGGCCTGGTAAGACGCAGGGGCACAGGTTTAGGGTGACTCTGTCCAATGAACCATGGACACGATTTAGAATAGTGTAGAAGGTGTGTGTTTGACGCCGAAACCCCCGAAGCTGGGCTCCTGAATTTCCAGTCCTGGTAGCTCGGGGCTCCCGTGGTGGACAGAGCAGGTCCAAGGCAAGGGGCTGAGGCTGTGGGGACAGCTGGGACAGATGCAGAGATTCAGGGGGCAGAAGCCTTGGGGTTGGGGGTTGAGGACTGTGCCCCAAGGTGGCTCTGTAACTGGGTGGACAGTAAGGTCAGCCCTAGATCAGAGAACCCGACGAGTAGGGGGCTTGGGGGCAGATGTTGAGCTCAGCTTTGACCTGTTGGGTGGGCGGTTCTGAGCAGCATCCACGGGACAGGTGGATGGGTGGGGTGGGAGTTGGGGGGTGCCAGGACAGGCCTCCTGCCGAGTCCAACTCTGCCCTTCCCTGCCCCACAGGGCG